CCAACGAACCACCAGGAAGGTGGCGTAAAACTCAGAACCCATACATACTTTTTCTCTCAGAAACAAAAATGTCTGATGAAAAAGCTTCAAAATACTCAAAATCCTTAGGATGCTATAATTATAAATCTGTAGGCTCAATTGGCTTAAGTGGGGGTCTTCTTTGTGTCTAGAAGGATAATTTGGATATTGTAGTAGTAGATCCAGCACAAAGGTTTATAGAGTTATCAGTTAATGCTAGCTCCCCAACTGCTAGTTGGACCATCCTCCTTTATGGTAGCCCAAGTCGTGGAGATAGGGCAGCTATATGGGAAAGCATCATCGCCTCAAAATCCTATCTCAGAGGTGCTCCTTGGCTTCTCCTTGGAGACCTAAATGACTTAGTGCACCTTGACGACTATGTGGGGCTCAATCATCGTGCTAGGTGATCTCAAGACCTCAAGAATTTAATTGACTTCTTTGCTCTCTCGAATCTGGGACACTCAAGACCTTTCTACACTTGGTCAAATAAGCAATCGGGTAAGAGAGGTGTGCGTGAAAGACTGGACAGAGGGCTAGCTAGCTTGGAGTAGCTCAACTGGTTTCCTAAAGTCAAATTGTCTATCCTACCAGCCATCAACTCAGATCATTCCCCAATTATGCTTAATACTAACCCTAATCCCATAGTGGGGAAAAAGCAATTTCATTTTCTTCCCATGTGGGTTCATCATAGAGATTGTGATAAATTGGTAGCTGACAATTGGAATGCTCCAACCGGATCCAAAGCTTTCTCAATTGCAAGGTAATTGAAGTCCCTGAAAAGCCAACTCAAATATTGGAACAAGAACACTTATTGTAACATAAATAACACAATAGTGGAGTTGGAAAAAAATTTCTCTTAGCTCAATCTGATCCAAGTGGAATCAACAACTTAGTAGACCTAGAAGCTCAGTACAATAGATGGCTCCTTGTAGAAGAGCAATTTTGGAGGCTAAAATCCAGAGAGTTATGGATTTCAAAGGGTGATAAGAATAACAAATTCTTTCACCATCAAACAAATTTTAGGAGATGGCTCTCAATTAACTATCTAAAAGGCAACCAAAACAACTGGACCTTTGACCCCCTTACCATAGGAAACCTCCTCAAAAGCCAATTCCTAAACAGTCCAAACCTAGAAGAAAATTTTGACCCTTCACTCCTAGATGGCCTGCAGTTCAACAAAATTTCTCCTGAAGAAAGCCAAAATCTCCTTATCCCCCCTCAAAAAGAAGAGGTCAAGCAAACTGTCTTCCAGATGCATCCCCACAAAGCCCCGGGTCTAGATGGTTTTACTGCTTTCTTCTTCCAGCATTACTGGAATCTTGTGGGTGATGACATTACCTCTATGATTCAAAGCTTTTTTAGAACCAAAAGACTTCTCAAACAAATAAACCATACCAACCTTATCTTTGTTCCAAAAAAGAGGGGTGCAGAAAAGGCTGAACATTTCAAGCCCATTAGTTTAAGCAATGTCCTCTACAAAATCATAGCCAAAGTCCTGGCCAATAGATTAAAACCTCTTCTCCATTCTCTAATTCAACAAAATCAAGCAACCTTCATCAAAGGCAAAAGTATCACATACAATATTATCTTAGCGAAGTAAATTATCCATAAGTTAAGAACCCAAAGAGGGAAAGGGAAATGGGTTGCTCTCAAGATTGATATGGCCAAAGATTTTGATAGAATGGGCTGGAGATTTCTTATAAAAACCATGAAAAGAATGGGATTCCTGATTGGCTAGTGTGAGTTAATTCGGTAGTGTATCTCTACTCCCTCATTCTCAGTAAAATTCAATGGGTCTTCTTTTGATTTATTTACAACTAAAAGAAGTTTGAGGCAAGGTGATCCCCTCTCGCCCTACCTCTTCATTATTGGAATGCAAACTCTCTCAGCTTTGTTGAATAAAGAAGAAAATTCGTCAAAGCTTCAAGGAATCAAGCTTGCAAAGGATGCAGACCCAATCACTCATCTTTTATTTGCTGATGACTGCTTCATTTTTTGTAAGGCAGATCCAGAGTCTTTCCTCCACACTAAAGCCACTCTCCGGTTGTTTGAGCAAATCTCAGGGAAACATATTAACTTTGCTAAATCAGGAGTTTTGTTTAGCAGGAACACTTATAGAATACACCAAAAGTTGCTAAGCAAAACTCTAAGAATGAAAACCATTAATTTCAGTACCAAATACCTTAGGACTTGGTTGGTAGACAGAGAAGGGGGAAAGATGAGTACTCATAAGCAACTTGCAGAAAACATTTCACACATGATAGAACTATGGCAAACTAAAACTCTCTCCCAAGCTGGTCGTACCATACTCATCAAAGCAGTTATTCAAAGTATTCCCTTGTACACCATGCAAACAAGCTCCCTTCCAACTGGCCTCTACAAGAGAATGGATAGACTGCAAAAGAACTTCTGGTGGTCTGGTAGATCGAGCAATGTTGCTAACTGCAACCTGAAATGGAGCATCATGTGTTCACTCAAAGCCCTTGGTGGTTTAGGGATAAGGAAATTCTCCTTTATGAACACAACTCTCCTCCTGAAATCAGTATGGAGGCTACTAAATCACAGTGGTAGTCGCTGGGCTCAGCAAATAGAAGCCAAGTATGTAAAAGGCAAATGTTTCTTCAACTTGAAAGCAAAAGCTTCGGACTCGGGGTGGTGCAAGAGAATTATCAAGTTAAAAAATGAGCTGAAACCTCACTTCTTCAGGAAGCTCAGGGATGGGAAAAAAATCTCAACTTTCTTGGATCCTTGGATTCCCCAGCTAGAGAATAACACCCCTACGAGAACAACTGCAAGCAATGGACCCTCTCAATTGAAGGCCTGCGATCTAATCACTGAGAGCCTTACTTGGGACATAGAATATCTCTACCATTTGTTTGATGATAGCAGTGTAGAAGCCATTCTTAATATCCCCTCTTAGGCCTTTACAACAAAGTGACCATTTGCTATAGAAAAATTCCAAGAATGGTGAATTTTCGGTGAGATCAACTTATCATACTCTCATTAACTCCACGACCCAAAATCAAGCAAATGTAGCAAGATGGTCCATAATTTGGGCAACCCCATACTTGCATAGATGCCAGATTTTTATGTGGAAATTTCTACATAAGGTGATTAGAACAAAAACAATCGTCTGAATTTGCAGAAGAAAAGATGACACCTGGTGCACTTTTTGTTAGTCATCCCCTAAAACTCAAAACCATCTCTTCCTAGAATGTCCTCTAGCTAGGGTTGTTTGGATTCAAGATCAAGTTGGGCTCATGCCAGAGGCTTTTTCTAAATTCAGGTCAAAGTGACTTGTTGGAATGGTGGTGGCAGTATAATAATCATATCAAAGCCCTAAAGTATAATTACCTCGCAAAAATCTTTGCCATCTTCAGAAGCCTTTGGGATGCAAGGAACGATAGTATCTTCAATAATGGTAAACCAGACCCTCCTGTGGAAGGCTGGTAACTACTCTAATTTTAAAGTTTCTAAGCCACAATGCTCATCTCATCCACACCCAAACATTGAATGAGAATCGCAAGATGCTCTACACACAGAACTCCCGATCATCATGGTGGATAGATCATGGAATACTATCACACACAATACATCTATTGGGTTCTTTATGTTCTCACATGGATCTCCTCTTCTCCTTGAAGAAGGACAACATTGCATGGCAAGATCATCATCAACAACTAAGCTCTGGGCAATAATAAGAGGCCTGCACAATTTTTTTTTTTGTATGGGCTACAAAAAAAGGTTTTCTACTATGAGATGCCAAGGATGTTTTGTTGAAGTTAAAAGGAACTGATAAAAATATCACATGGGAAGCTCAAGCGTTATATGATCACATCTTTGACCTATATTCATTTTTTGTTGATGTAAAGTAATTATATGTAAATAGGACGGTGGTTAAGCCGGCCCATGAACTTGCAAAACAAGCTAGGCTTAAAAACACTTTTGTTAGTAGGTCCAACCCCCTACGTACTTACATGCATGTTTTTTTCTGAAAGCTGTAAAAGGGGACTTTTAATGTACCCTTGCTGTTTATATGGTTCCTTTTTTGCCAAAAAAAAAAAAAGAATAAAAATTCCATCTAGCCTGTAAATAAAAAAAAAAGTATCTTCTAGAAATTAGTTGGGGGAACAGCACGGAACCATTAATTTAATCGGACATGTTAGTTGCAAAAGATTTTGGTAATTCATCTCACCAAGATCCTCCAAGAATTCAACAAAACAGAAGATTCACATAAATTTCTTTAAAAAAATAAAATAATTAATGATATAAATGCACTTAATATTGATAGTATAGCTTTATACATAGGTCAGGTTAGGTATATATGGACAACAAAAGATCCCGAATGCCATAATTAGGACTATAATTATGCACAATGACAGGTCTTGACAATCTCTTGAATGCCATAAAGCTACAAACCACCCCATCCTTAGAATAACCAGTGTTTCCTCTTGGGCTTGTTATCAATTGGAACATCTGTAAGAAAGGTACAGCAATTTCTCAGACTTCTCAGATATGAATGTTCTTATCCTCCATTGAGATTACAGAAATACCTTGAAAGAATTTCACAACTGACCTCGGATTTCATATAGTGAATTGTAATGTACCTCAGACCAAAAACTTAACCAAAGCTCTGCACAAAGCCAAAATTAGTTGGTATTCTACCAGTATAATTTCCAATACAAGTCCATAGCCTATGCACAAGTAAATAAATGTTTCAACACTCCCAAGAGCAAACAACACTTGGGGGAGTAATACAAACTAAATGAAGATATACATGTATCCTAACCAATTTTTAGCAGAGTTTTGATTCAAAGCCAAGTTCATTAATAGGTCTTTTTATCCAGCATTTTCCATAAACCTGCAATTCCTAACTCCCATTACTAGTCTGGAGGCATTGACGAACATTATAATGTATCTTGGCCTCTTGCTATATGAGTGTTTATTATGGGAGTATGGGACTTGTGAAAATTGGTTATGTTAAATGGAGAAATCAATACAATCTCAAGTAAAAGCAAATCATATCTACCAAGGAAGATGCATCCTTTAAGTTAGATTAGTCAAAAGGGAGAAAATGTATTCAGCAGCATAATAATATAATCATGATCTAGCAACTGGACCATGAGAACTCCAAATAAAAGAAATGTACCAAAAACAAGGCTTGGCTCAAGAGGCATATATGGTGGATGTTGCATAGAATCAATTTCTAATTCTAACTACTAAAATTTTCCAAAACACGCTTCTGTGGGATAAGGTAGTTGCTGATTCTGATGATGCAAAAAATTATATGTTGAAAATAAACGCATCCAWCATCCACACAAGGATAGTGTATAAAATTGAAAAGTATAACATATCACAGCAAAAATTATGTCTGTTGGTTTTACCTCGCTGAGGAGTCTGATGTAGTGGCAAAATTTCAATAAAGCATGTATTTATGAATGAAGTTAGAAGACATATCTTCGCTGCAAACTGCAGACAACCACAAGTCTTAGACTTGATGTCAGGTTAAGTGTGAGATGTTATATCAATATCACAGCAAGACTAAATGTAGAATCACAAATGGAACTAAATGAAAATGCGAAAGTATCTGTTCATTTATGAAGATGATCAAGACTGCTATCAGTCTTGGACACTAAGGAATTTCAGGTTCGAACAGAAGAGAAAGTGAAGAAGAAAGAGGAGAAAGATTAGTGAGAGAGCAGTAGAACA